CCTAACCCTAACCCTAACCCTAACCCTAACCCTAACCCTAACCCTAACCCTAACCCTAACCCTAACCCTAACCCTAACCCTAACCCTAACCCTAACCCTAACCCTAACCCTAACCCTAACCCTAACCCTAACCCTAACCCTAACCCTAACCCTAACCCTAACCCTAACCCTAACCCTAACCCTAACCCTAACCCTAACCCTAACCCTAACCCATAGTGTCGGCTGTTTTGTCTTCAGTAAGGTGCCGCGAAAAAGGATGTCGTTGTTATTAGATACAGCTACGCAGAAAGCCTGATCTAGCTACAGGGCATGACCTTCACACATGGTCATGGAGAAGTTTACCGACCTGAGATAAGACGAGACAGCTAAAGGCTAGAGGGGGAGTGGTTTCCAATTTCTGTTCGCCATCCGAATGTAGCCGCCCAGCCGCTGCCGCGGAATCGGGCCCGACTGTCGTCGCCCAGGTTGTCCATGTAGGTCGAATTTTTGGCTCCGCAACCGGCTACGCCCATCGGGACGAAGAAGATGAGCGCATACAGCACAGCCGGGCTGCGAGCGCTCGAGAGATGGAGATCTATTTCGGGATCTTACTTCCAGATATATTTCAGTCAGTATCAGCTCTTCAAGTATGGGGCAATATCACCTCCGTGGTTACCTGCAGGCCAACGATCCACATCTAGCTATGTGTCATTCATTTCGATCCGCACCTCGGCCCTAGGGGTCAGTAGTGCAATCGCTGCTTCTGGACTGCTTTTATGATCTAGGAACCGTATCATGGCCGAACATGGAGTAAATTAGTGTAGGACAACAGAAGGTTATCGTACATATAAAGCCATTCAGTCTTGCCCTAGTCAGAAGGAAATTAGCCACATATATTATGCATGCAGTCAAGATTCTCCTGTGCCTTTAGAATTCACCGCCGCTGTTATAGCTACGTAATAGCGATGTCCACCCTCCAGCCCCATAATGCCAATTTCTATCCCCATTCTTTGCGCCCTGCGAAAAGCTATGTGATACCCATTAGCGTCTTTGTCCGTACGATCCAGGAGCTCGATTCACGACTTCAGAATTCACAGCATCAAGTCTGGCTTAACACAGTTAAAATTGTAAAACTGCGGCAACAGCTGGGCAAATTGACGTATAAGGAGAAGCTCCAGCGCGAACTAGAAGTACAAGAACAGGCTATCAACACGCAGCAAAGGCTTATCTCTGTTTTGGAGAAATATCAAGCAGAAAATCCTATGGGTCTACAGTCACTCATCAACTCTAACGACACTGTATCCGGAGTTGAACTCCCTGATTACGAGACCCCATCATTGTAGCTACCGATAGCAGTATCACCACCCTTCCTTATGCCCGAATCGTCAACACTGTCAGCGGTGCAATTCTCTAGGGAGACAGCGAAATGGAGCCTACAGAACTGGAAGAGGCAGCAGCGCAGAGCGCTGGCAGCCACAGTAAGAAAAAAGTGCAGACAGAGGAGGGCAGGGGTAACAAGCGACAGAAAGTATAACATACGTTCTCGCGAAGTGATGTCTTGAAGCATCATTTTCGAGAATGGTCAATTCGTTGAGGAAACCCCACTGGAGCCAATTAGGAGATACAAATATATAAACCCTTGCCTGTTGTGGCAGGCATGGCGATCAGCGACTGAGGCTCTTTAGCCTCCTGTCATGCAGTACCGCCTGGTAACTTACGCAAAAGCCTCCTGTTTATCATCATTTTCCTGTTCTTCCAACAGATCATCGATGGTTTTCCGAGCCTCATTTGCATCTATCCTCATTACCGCTCTCTCCAATTTACGAAGTTTCGTAGCGTTCATCGTGTTCTCGGCTTCTTGAGAGACGAAGTCTCTTAGATTGACACATTCCACTTGTGTCAGACCCGATGTACCATCCTCTTTGCAGACTTCAACGGTGGATCTCTCCTCGGCCCGCCACTCATGTCTATCTCGCTTGGCGCGCCAAACAATGATCTTCGCAGAGCCACGGTTGTTTCCGCCCTGTTTCCATTGTTTCTTGATTCTGTTCCACTCGCCGTATGTTCCTGAAAGATCAATGCCCACAACTATGCGTATACCTCCATCTGATTTGCATATATACTCGGCGACCTTCTTGTTCAAATCTTGCCGAGGCTGAGACCATGATACCTCTACCAGCAGGGAAGGATAGTTGCTTCTCTTATACTTATAGGAGCAACCCGCTCTTCTTTGGCTACCTCCACCAGCGCTTGGACCAGATAAGTCCTGCCATGGGTGGTCTGGTGGAATATTGCGCGCTATGTCGACGATGACAGACCAAACATACAGTAGGATGCTGGGAATGCCTTCATCTCGGTTTTCTGTTTGGCAGATGAACTTGATATCATCAGCCAGCTTAGCAGCGACAGCTCTGTGCTGGCCGGGTACTGGAGTGTGGCCTTGAGGACGTTGCAGATGGCTCGCTCGAAATCCAGCAAGTCGAGGTCTTCGACGCTCTGCAAATTGACTTCCGTGTTCATAGCTTGACTATCGCCGGGTCATTGCAGAGTGACAGTACTCCGGACGTAGTTAGATAAATTTCTATGTGTAGGATATTGACGATTACCGCATTAAAGCAGACGATTAAGTCTCGAGGTATGACGTGCCCACGTCCGGCGCATGCCAAGTCACTGACAAACGTATCACGAAGCCAACGCCGACCTTACAAAACCGACGCTGAGATGCCACCGGGGCGAAGTAATCCTGGCCATGCGGCAAAGTAACGGCAAACCACCCAAAGAAGGCAACGGCGCTTCGCAGCCGCCGAATATTGGGCGGTCACCTCCAAAGCCGTCCAGAAGGTAAAGTGCCACTGCGGCACAGTCGCGGTCTGGCCGCGTGTTCTTAAAAATAAGTCCCCCCTGGTCCTAAGGTTCCATACCCCACTGTGTAAAGTTCCGTACTCCATTGTAAAGTTCCATACTCCATTGTAAAGTTCCATACTCCATCGTAAAGCTCCATACTCCATCGTAAAGTTCCATACTCCATCGTAAAGCTCCATACTCCATCGTAAAGTTCCATACTCCATCGTAAACTTCCATACTCCATCGTCAAGTTCTATACCCCATTATCGATATTCATAGCGCGATTTTATCAGTAGAGACCTAAATGATCCCGGTCATGTAGAACTACTAACCATCACCATCCTGGACTCCAGTACTAGAGGTCATCGAGAAGGAATAGACACTCTTTGCTAGCGCTCAGAAGGAACCAAAACTCTACGTAACGGGAACTTTTAGGTCCATACTTTACTTGTTGAAAAGACACGAAGTTCCAATCCATAGTTATCTGCAATGGTAATAGGTAGAACTTTACGCGATGAGATATAAAACTTTCTCTTTCAGTATTAGCATGGCGGTTACAGGCATCATATCCTCGTAATGACATGTACTACCAGTATGTAGAACTGCTAATCATTACCATATTTGCTACCGGTAGGTAATTTATCGCCTCTTGTAAGTGAATTGAGTGAAACCCCTTTGAGCAGATGTCCCGCTTCTATTTGGGGATTCCTCAGATAGGGAACCGTCATCAGGTATAAAACAGCTTCGTCCGCACACCTTCAGGTCATCTCGATAAACACAACCATCTCGCAACCATCTCGCAACCATCTCACAACCATCTCACAAGAACCACCCACTAAGCAAACAGCATACGGCAATCTTGGTCAAAATGAAGCCTCAGGTTCTCCTCGCTCTCGTATCCTGTGTCTGGGCTTTGCCCGCTGCTCCAAAGAGCTCAGGCTTGCAGGCCAGGAAGCCTCAAGCAGACGACATCATCAACGTCTATCACCGAGGACGCTCACCGCAAGACTCAACGCTCGTGACACGAGATGACCTACCAGGGTATGCTTTTTCTAGTATTTCTCCTTGACTAAGACATTCACTAATGGTGTAATGGCAGGTACTTTAAAGACTTTGACCCAGACCATAGCGACAAGAAGAAATACGAGAAGCTCGACTCAAAAACGCGTCGGATGATTGATAGAGCAATGGAATACGCTGTCGAGAAAGACTATAAGAATGCAACGGCTTCGTGGTTGAGCGATCGGAATAAAGCGGGCCAAGGTAGCTTCATGGATTCTGTGATTATGGGATCAGGTGACTATACCAAGAGCCCCGAGAAGTATTTTGAGGGCTTATTGGGATTTTTCTACACCTAAGGTTCAACCTCACTGGTGGGTGGTCACTATGGGTATGTCATTAAGGACGATACCAGGCAACAAGGCCGCTAGGCAGATAGACAGTCATTACCTGACCAAGTAGAGCAGCCGGGTAGATAGACAGTCATTACCTTACCAATTGATCTACTTCAGATAAACACCAGTCAGAAGATATACAGCATGTCAAGTCACGAATGCCTTCAGACATGAA